ACAGCTTTCTTGCGCCGCCCACATGGCTTCACTGGGTCTTTCCCTCCTGGTACCCAGTGGAGTCTCCGGCGTCCAGTCTACGGTCTTCGCCAGGCTCCACGTGAGTGGCACGACACACTGAGGACTACGCTTGCGGCTCTTGGGTTTGCTCCTTCTACTGCCGACCCGTCGCTGTTTCTGCGCACCGACACCTCTCTGCCGCCGTTCTACATCCTCGTGTACGTCGACGACTTGGTCTTTGCCACAGCTGACACTGCTGGACTCGCGTACGTGAAGTCCGAGCTGCAGAAGAGACACACGTGCACAGACCTGGGTGAACTGTGCAGCTACCTTGGCTTGTAGATCACCCGGGACAGAGCACAGCGCACCATTACTCTGACTCAGTCACACATGGTGCAGCAGGTCCTTCAGCGCTTCGGCTTCACGTACTCCTCGCCTCAGGCCACTGCTCTGCCTACTCGCCACTCGCTCTCAGCTCTGCCTTCGGATGAGTCCGTAGAGTCGAGTGGCCCGTATCCAGAGCTTGTTGGCTGCCTCATGTACCTGATGACCTGCACACGACCTGACCTTGCATACCCTCTTAGCATTCTCGCACGCTATGTTGCTCCTGGTAGACACCGACCAGAGCACATGGCTGCAGCGAAGAGGGTGTTGCGCTACTTGTGCAGTACGTCAGGCATGGGGCTAGTGCTTGGAGGGTGGAGTCCAGTGGTCCTCACTGGGCACGCGGACGCTTCTTGGGCTGACGACCAGGCTACGCAGCGGTCGTCACAGGGTTACACCTTCAGCCTTGGTTCCGGCTCTGTTTCGTGGCGGGCTACTCGCTCATCTTCTGTTCTCGGCTCTAGTTGTGAGGCCGAGATCTACGCCGGGGCCATGGCTGCACAGGAGCTTCGCTGACTCACCTACCTGCTGACCGACCTTGGAGAGTCGCCTCGTTCTCCTCCAGTCCTGTACGTAGACAACAAGGCCATGCTGGCCTTGTGTCGAGAACAGAGACTGGAGCACAGAACAAAGCACATTGCTCTTCGCTACTTCCTTGCTCGTGAGCTACAGCAGCGTGGTCAGTTGCGGCTTGCGTACGTGGCCTCTGAGGCCAACACTGCTGATGTCTTCACCAAGGCACTTGCGCCTTGTGATCATCAGCGCTTCTGCACGCAGCTGGGTCTTGTGCCTGTCTTGCCTCACTTGCTCACCTCTTGACCTTGCTTGTACTGTTGCATATATATACACTTGCTCTTACTTGTCTAGTCCTTTATATATATGTACTCCTGCATGTGAACTGGCCTTGTGGCCTTGAACTTGTGCTCGGAATGTGTGGTGACTTTGTGATCCACCCTGAGCTTGCTTTGCTTTGCTTGACTGGTCTTGTGACCCCTTGTTCTCCCCCACTTTGCTTATGGGGGTGTTTCACATTTATATGACATAGCTACTGTAAGCTATAGTGGGGTAGCACATATGGGGTACAGCTTTCTAGGGTTTGTACTTGTACCCAACTTTCCTAAGTTTCTCACTGAGGAAGTTAAGAATTCGTAAACAAGCAGCAACAAGTCACTCACCATTTGGGTGCTTGACAGGAGTATGCTGTAACGGTGAAAAATAAACAATTTGCGCTTCTGGTTAACGGTAAGCCTGCAAACACAATTACGCCCTGCAACACATGCAAACGAAGCGTGCATCCTGCTGGCATTGCTCCAGAGGGGTCAGCTGATGCAGATTTTGCTAGCCTTAACATGGTAAATCGAGGCGGCTAAATCGACGGTGGTTAAGCACCCGACGACTGTATGCTGTAGCGATAGTGTTAGTCGCAACCGTAAGTTGCAAACGTCGGATTGAAGAACCGAACATCACGAGTAATAAAAAGCAAACACGAATCCATGCACGACTCATGAAGACCTCACCAGGGTTAATAATACCCAAGACATGTGGGCCAAAACATCACGTCGTAAAAACATATGCCTCACCAACAATACGAATACCTTTATCATCGAGACAGCCTCGACACAGGCGCTTTTGCGTCGCCGAATGCATGCATGTCGTCCGCAAGGTGTTGAGCCGTCAATCCGCAAAGGGGAAAGGGAGGTGGGAGGGAAAAATTGACGGTACATATCAGAGTGAGAAGTGCTTAGTGCTGAAAGATGTATGTGCAGTAAGATAAAACAGTGAACAACGAGATTTGCGAACGCAGCGTAGTGATGGTGTTGAAGAACCAAGCGTGCATGTAGAGCTTGGTTGCTAGTCTAAGGAACCTAGAGAGCGCGAATGCTGAACATTGCACTAGAAATCAACAAGGGGAGATTATGAGGTAGGTGTGGGTAGTACCGGAGGTACAGGTGTGGAGGGGACTCATGTGATAAAGATTCCCATGTTGAAAGTGAGGGGATATTGTGTGGACGTTTTTTGGGTTGGGTGTGCTGACGTGTAGGTATCGGAAGGTGCATATTGATTGACTCGTCACAGCACAACAATCATTGGTTCACAACGATTCTTTGGCTCACACGTCACCCCTTGTGAAAAAACCAGGTAGCATTTGTGGGTTGGGTTGGGTGGTTGGGTTCAGATTGGATACTGAACGAAAACTATGTATGCAGTTGTTGAACCTCGCTGGACTTCGTGGGTTCGATCTGTTTCGTTTAATTTGTGGTTACATTACACTGCCCTCGTCACTCTGCAAAACCGCATGGAATCTCTCTCGAACGTACAAAACCGACTGACACAAAAAAGTTGACGGAAAAGCAACTGGTGTACCGAATGTTGCGATTTTCGTCTGTTGGTTTTTGGATACTTCCCGCAAATTGTACGCAAGGTTTACGCAGAAAAACCTTCGAAGGCCAAATTTCGCAACTTCACTTTTTCGAGGAGTCCTCGCGGTGCTCCTTGTCGAAGCTGGCTTTCGTTTCGACCAGGTGCAGTGGAGGCCGGGAGCCGCGATCGACGATGTCGGTCAGTTTTCGCTCACGGTCGCTCAGCTGTCGCTGATGGAGGTACTCGTCGTGCGACTGTCGCGTGCGAGCGACGCGCACCGGGCCGGCGAATGCGGGGAGAAACATCAAAAGACAGAGTATCACCGAAAAGGCGAGCAGCAGGGGCTTGAGGATTTTTGCCATGGGATTCAGCTATTAGCTGATAGACTAAAAGATTTGTCAGTGACAGCTAATACTACTAGTCGCCAGGGCCTCAGATGTCAGGAATTTTACCCTGAATTCCTGAAGTTTGACCCTTGTTTTTTATTGCGACCCTGATGGATCAGCCTTTTTTTTTTAGCGACCCTGATGGATCAGTGTTTTATTTTGTAGAACACTGAATTTTCAGTGTTTTGTGTTTGCAGACACTGACGAGTCAGTGTTGTATCCGGGTTGACCCTGGAACCGAAACTCCGTGTTTCTCGCATATTGGCGCGCCGTCATCATTCATGTACCCAACGAGGATCGACGCCACCCTGCGGCTCAATTTTGGCCAGTGTTTGCGCAAAGGCGCTATTTGATTGGCTGTTCCAGGTGTTTCAATGCTTCGTTGACTCTGACTTCTGCCAACACTTGTTATTCTTGGCCTCGCTGCGCACAAATCCAGAGTGGACCAGTGGTGAATGGTGGCATCAGATCAGATTCACCACGCAAGGGCGTGGTTGTGCGGTTCGACCAGCCGACCCATGCCGCAGGGGGTCTCGTTCATTCATGCTCTCCACATCACGACCGGGCCTGCACCCCTTCTTTAATTATTCTACCGTATCACCCCGGATATAAGCGCCATGGCGCTTATAATAAAATCGATTTTTTTAAGGGTGGCGCTTGTAATTGAATAATGGCCATAAGCGCCGGCGCTTATATAAAGACAAATACAGAAATACAATTCAAACGCACCAACATGTACAGTTCAGTCTCGTAAGTTGAACCGAATTAAAACTTTACAGCGTCCAGAATCAGAATCGCGCGAGGGCGAATTTCTGACGGTGCACTGAGCTTTGGCGCGTCATTTTGCCCGCGTGCCAGCTCATACTGACTGGACGCGCAACCAGTGAGGTCCGCGAAAGTCAAACAAAGTGAAAATGTGATGTGACTCGCTAGAAATATGAAGTTCGTTACCGTTTTAATCAGGAATGAAAAATAAATTTAGGCGTGCGCTTATAATAAGTAAAGCATTTTCAGGGGGGGCGCTTATAATCGAATTCCGGCCATAAGCGCCATGCTCCAGATAGAAGCGCCGGCGCCTTTAATCGGACGGCGCCTATATCCGGGGCGATACGGTATCAGTGTTTTTTGAAAAGGCACCCTGTGTGATCAGTGTTTTTTTCTTACTAGCCCTGAAAAATCAGTGTTTCTAAGCAGGCAACACTGAAGATCAGTGTTACACCTCCAAGGGACCCTGAGTGCTCAGGGTACCCTAAAACGAATCTGAGGCCCTGCTAGTCGCTGATATGTAGCTCTGATTGAGAAGGACACGTGCTTGTAAGAATGACCACGTAATGTTATGTACTGAATGTAACGACGACGCGCGCTGCTTCGGCCACGATATGCCCATGATGAGAAGATTCGCGGGTGCCTCGTCATTACTATAGAGCGACGTCGCGGTGAGGCGCGCTAGCTAGTTCACGAATATGTGTGTGTATGTTGTATTTGGCTGAAATAAGACTGACGACGTTCAATCTCACCTCCAATAATGGTGGGGGTTGTCGCTGCTACATTCTACGACGTTCTTGCTGTCCAGTCCAGTGTTGGGGAGGGTGAGGAGTGCGTTGGGGTAAAGCACACAACCTGAACTCCTCTTCACCGTTTTCTACCGTGCGTCCTTGACGTTCTCTGAAAATTTCGCGACTCGTTGCGAGGATTCATGGCGACTCGTGGAGGCTGAAATTTGTCGCCCCTTGAAACCACATCGATACTACGCATAGTTAGGCACCAAGTTTACGAATTATAGCCTCTCAATTACGAAACCTCTTAACAAGGCGTTAGCACTGTACAGTAACACTGCATTACATTTTGCTGCATAAAAAAAGTCATGATTCATGACTTGTCCGTTGCAAAATACAGAGTGATGCAGTCTATAGCATTGTCAGCATCTTCCCAGCTGCGCCCCACAAACGTGACCTGCAGCCCAATATCTCGCTGCAACGCCGGCTTCAGTTGCGAGTATATCACCGTCACCGCCCCACTGCTGCCCCCCCCCGCTTTCACGTCTGGTTCCCCCAGCGCTGCCACCACCTCCTTGGCTTTCATGCTCACCCTGGGAGGATGGGAGAGAGGAGGAAGGAGGAGTGGAAAAGTGCGAGACGAGGTGCGGGTATGAGGGTTACTATGGCCCCCGCTGCTTTCCACCATTGCTTTCATGTCAGCGCTGCCACCACCTCCTTGGCTTTCATACTCACTCTGACAGGAGGCGAGAAAGGATGAGCGCATGGGGTGTGGAGGTGAGGATTGAATGATGGGGAGAAGGGCATGAATTATGACAACAATGCCCCCACTTCGGCTCTTCCGACATCTGTATCCTCCTTGGCTTTGCACCTGTATTTCCCAGCACAGTCACCCGCTCCATCGCATACATTATCACCCTGCGAGACGGAAGAAAAGGGGAGGAAAGGGCAGGAGATAGAGGAGAGGTGTGGGGGTATGAGGGTTAACATGGGCGCTGTTGCTGCTACCCCGCCTCCCTGCTTGCACGTCCGGCTATCCAATGCCTGTACCCCCTCCCTGGCCTTCATGCTCAATTTGAGCGAGGGGAGAGGAGTGGAGGGATATATATTTCAGAACCATCACTGTACCCGTAACAGTACCCATGCACCACTGCTACCATCTCAGCTCTTAGCATGTGAAATGTGTGTCACAAGCATGCAACTTGCATGCTACATCCGTGTAATTTGGCTGGAACACGCCGCACTCACTTGCGTCCAAACGGAAGCGGCCCAGCGACCGCTTTGTAAATGTGCACGTCGCTAAACAGGTGCACGGCCGCCATCTTCCCACGACTTTGAAAGTCACATTCATGTGACGTGAGCCCTACATGCAACTCACTTAAGTCCGAAGGGGAGGGTCCCAGCAAACGCCTTGTATCCATGCACGTCACTGTACACGTGCACGGCCGCTACCTTCCCGTCCTCCACACACAGCGACAGCCCCATCGCCTTGTAGTTCACATACTCGCATGCCGCTCGCCCCTTCACCGCTGGAAACACCTTCCTCTCCGCCTCCAGGGGGCTGCTCGCACCCCCTGCGCTGCCGCTGCTGCTGCTGCTGCTGCTGCTGCTGCTGCTGCTGGCGCTGCCGCTACTTGTGCTGCTGCCTGTGGTGCTGCTACTGCTGCTGTTACTACTGCTTGCAAGAGTGGCAAGGAGCTGAGTGGCGACGGGGTCGTCTGGGCTTCGATCGAGAAGGCTCAGCACTGAAGACGCCATGGCTGCCAGGCGGGACGGGATTTAAGGCAGTTCAGAGTGGTGCAGAGTGGTTTAGAGCACTTCTGAATGCACTGAGGCGGATCTGATCGCACGCAGCGCTGCGATTGGTTCTGAGACGAAGAGGGATAGGAGAGCGAGTGGGTGGAAAGAAGGATGCGAATGCGGTTGGTGGAATGAGGTATGGGAGGGAGAAGTGATTGAAGCGGGTGGGATCAAGGTTGGGAGAATGGTAAGAGGATCCTACTGCTGAGGAGGAGAGCGGAAGGCAAGGGGCATATGAAGAAGCGGGTAGGTGCGTGCGTGGAAGGAAGGAGGAGGAAAGAGAAGAGGTGAGAGGGAGGGAGGGAAGGATGAGAGTAATGGAAAAAAAAAAACAAAACAGAAGCAGCCGAATAAGGAAACCTAGGAGCGTGGGAGTGCTGCGTCGAAACTGTGACTTACATGCTGCTGAAGATGATACCACGGCGCGTCAACAAATAAGACTGGAGCAATGGACAGTGGTCGACCAGTCCAGCCCTAGTAGATCCTTTTTCAGGCACCTAAAAAACAATCCGCGAGAACTGAGACGATTCTTTAGGCGCGTCAACTAATGAGACTGGGACAATGACGGTGATAGACTGGTCCATCCCTAGTAGATCCCTCATGCGGCTCAAACACGAGAGCACGCGTATGGCTCGCACACGAGACCGCGATTCAGCAGCGTTGTGATCCGTGCCGTGTAAAGGCAGCACTGAGCTCGACAAACGCATCGCTCAGGTTCTAGTCTTCCGTGGAATTCAACAGGCACCAAGATATTTGAGTGATGGTTCATAAGGCCGGATACAGTCGCTCGCCTAGGTTAGGTTCGGTTCTCACCACGAGCCTCAGATCGTCACGACGGTTGCACCTGGTGCAATTGAGCGAGCACCAGTTGTGCACGGTTGGGACAGCTTATGCGACTGACTGGCGCTGGTTCGTCGCTCAGCGAGCATGCCTTGGCTTGGGATGATGGGGTGATGCGCGGTGAAGCAAGCAAACTATTCAGAGTGGTCGCTGATATGGCCAGAGAGAGGAAGAGAATGCGAGGGCGGGGGAAGGGGGAATAAGAACATGGTCATGGTTGGATGTCGTGTCGTGTGAAGCACTCGCACAAGAGGAAATCAACAAAGATGAGATAGGAAGTGGTTGAAAAGGGAAAGGGGGAGATAAAGAAAAGCAGGTGGGGTGAAGGGAGGGATTAGGAAGACGGGGGAGAGGGTAAAGGGGAGATAGGAAGTGGGGGTGGAGGGAAAGAAAGAGAAGGGAAGAAGGGGAGGAGGGAAAGGAGGTGACAAGAAGAGGGGGAGAGGGAAGCAAGGAGATTGGGAGAGGGAAGGGAGGGATGGGGGGGTGTAGGGAACAGGGGAGACAGGGACGATGGGAGAGAGGGAAGGGAGAAGAGGGGGGAGAAAGAACAGGGGAATTGAGGGGAAGCAGGGGAAGCAGAGGGGGAAGGATGAGGGGAATCAGGGTGGGAAATGAGGGGGAGCAGAGGGGGTAATGAGGGGAAGCAGGGGGGGAATTGAGGAGAAGCACTGCCCTGGCAGGGGAGTATGAGGAGGAGGAGGGGGGGGAAATGAGGGGAAGCAGGCGGAAATGAGGGGAAGCAGGCGGAAATGAGGGGAAGCAGGCGGAAATGAGGGGAAGCAGGCGGAAATGAGGGGAAGCAGGGATGCGGCAAGAAAGTGGGAGAGGGAGGTGGGGATGAATCATCGCAAAAACAGCGGGGGTGGAGGGGTAGCGTTTAGTTCAGCTGCTTCAAAGCTGCTTGGCGTAAACTGACTAAAGGGTTACGCCATACCTACCGTGGAGCTACTTTCAAGGTTGGCGCTTCGGGATTTAGCGGTAAGTCAGAAACGTGATGAGGGATTGAGATTGCGTGCAGGAGTTTCATTGGCTATCGATTCAAAGCTACGGAAAAGCTGCTCCTACTGAATTGCTTGTGCTTCGTGGATTTTGTGTTTCTGGGTTCGCCCGTTTCGCCCAAGATGGGGTTACTGCAAGAATTCTCTCATGTTCTAATCCTCGCTGAGAAATCTCGCGTTCTGCTGTGCAGGGTTTTATTGTTGTTAATTAAACGGCTGTGTCTGTAATCTATAAACTGTTAAATAGGTACAAATTTGACAAATTCGATAATTGCGTTTTGCTGTTCGAAATCAACAATATTAACTACGAATGCTACCCTTTTTGTAGTTCGTTTATTGTCAGCACTGCACGCAAATTTATTTTACAGCTTCATCCAACATGTAATTGGATTCGTTAGCAATATGCAACCAAGGTAGATATATATGCGTGTAAGCAATAATGACAACTTGCGCCAATACATTATTTGATATTTGCTATTAGGGTACATTCTCATCTTGACATTTGTGTCTCAACCCCTGATTTCTCAAGTCGTGTCTAGACGCCGTGCCGATTCAGACCTGCAAACGCACAAACAAGTATCACGTGCTGCGTAGTTTTGCGAATGAGCTCAAACCGGTTCTTATGGCAAGGGAATAAGATGTACTACCTGAATGTGTGAAGAGATTGTCCCAAAAATAACGTCCAAATGTTGAAACGGTTACATGTTGTGCACTGGCCTATCCTTGCACGGATTCAGGCCGGCAAACGCACGAACTAGCGTCACGTGCTGCATGTTTGCGCGAACGAGCTCAAACCAGTTTCTATGGGAAGAGAATAGGATGTACTACCTGGATTTGTGAAGAACGAGTGTTAAAGATAACGTCCAAATGTTGAAACGGTTACATGTTGCGCACTGGCCTATCCTTGCACGGATTCAGGCCAGCAAACGCACAAACTAGCGTCACGTGCTGCATGTTTGCGCGAATGAGCTCAAACCAGTTTCTATGGGAAGGGAATAGGATGTACTACCTGGATTTGTGAAGAACGAGTGTTAAAAATAACGTCCAAATGTTGAAACGGTTACGTGTTGCGCACTGGCCTATCCTTGCACGGGTTCAGGCCAGCAAACGCACAAACTAGCGTCATGTGCTGCGTATGTGGGCGAACGAACTAAAACCAGTTTCTATGGGAAGGAAATAGGATGTACTACCTGAATTTGTGAAGATATAGTGATAAAAATAATGTATAAACGTTGAAACTGTGATATGTAGCGCACTGGCCTATCCTTGCACAGATTCAGGCCAGCAAACGCACAAACTAGCGTCATGTGCTGCGTATGTGGGCGAACGAACTCAAACCAGTTTCTATGGGAATGAAAAAGGATGTAATACCTGAATTTGTGAAGATGTAGTGCTAAAAATAACGTCCAAATGTTGAAACGGTGACATGTAGCGCACTGGCCTATCCTTGCACAGATTCAGGCCAGCAAACGCACAAACTAGCGTCATGTGCTGCGTAGTCACACTAACTATTTCTTCACACAGTTCTCTACTATATCCTATTACTTAGCCATAGGAACTGATTTCATCTCGTTAGCACAACCACGCAGCTCGTGGCGCATGTTTGTGCGTTTGCTGGCCTGAATTTGTGCAAGGATAGGCCTGGGCGCAACATGTCACTGCGCCAACGTCGGGATGCCTTTTTTACCACTATTTATTCACACAATTCTCTACTACATCCTTTTACCTAGCCATAGGAACTGGTTTGACCTCGTTCGCACAACTACGCAGCACGTGGCGCTTGTTTGTACGTTTGCTGGCCTGAATTTGTGCAAGGTTACGCCTGTGCGCAACATGTTACTGCGCCAACGTCTAGATGCCTTTTTTACCACTATTTCTTCACAAATTTCTCTACTACATCCTATTACCTAGCCATAGGAACTGGTTTGACCTCGTTCGCGCAACTACGCAGCACGTGGCACTTGTTTGTGCGTTTGCTGGCCTGAATCTGTGCAAGGATAGGCCTGTGCGCAACATGTCACTGCGTCAACATCTGGATGCCTTTTTTACCACTATTTCTTCACACTGTTCTCTACTACATCCTATTACCTAGCCATAGGAACTGGTTTGACCTCGTTCGCACAACTACGCAACACGTGGCGCTTGTTTGTGCGTTTGTTGGCCTGAATCTGTGCAAGGATAGGCCTGTGCGCAACATGTTACTGCGCCAACGTCTGGATGCCTTTTTTACCACTATTTCTTCACACAGTTCTGTAATAAATCCTATTACCTAGCCATAGGAACTGATTTCATCTCGTTAGCACAACTACGCAGCTCGTGGGGCATGTTTGTGCGTTTGCTGGCCTGAATCTGTGCAAGGATAGGCCTGTGCGCAACATGTCACTGCGCTCACATCTCGATGCCTTTTTTACCACTATTTCTTCACACAGTTCTCTACTACATCCTATTACCTAGCCATAGGAACTGATTTGACCTCGTTCGCGCAACTACGCAGCACGTGGCGCTTGTTTGTGCGTTTGCTGGCCTGAATCTGTGCAAGGATAGGCCTGTGCGCAACATGTCACTACGCCAACATCTGGATGCCTTTTTTACCACTATTTCTTCATACAGTTCTGTAATACATCCTATTACCTAGCCATAGGAACTGATTTCATATCGTTAGCACAACTACGCAGCTCGTGGGGCATGTTTGTGCGTTTGCTGGCCTGAATCTGTGCAATGATAGGCCTGTGCGCAACATGTTGCTGCGCAAACGTCATATCTCCCTACAAGATGATGCGAATGATTCCAAACCTGTCCAGCAAGCTTGGAATATAGCAAACGCTGAAATGCCACAATTGTACGCATTGCACAGGTGGAATGAAATAAGAACGATATTTGCATTTCGTTTACATTCACATATACATTTCTTTTACAGATTTATACAAGTATTCGACATGCTTCTCATATATATAAATAAGTGTGAAACAAGTAAACAGGGAATGAATGAACTAGCAGTGAAATGAGTACAAGTAGGAAACCCTAGAATTGTGTACCCCCTATAGGCTAACCCACTGTAGCCTACACAAGCATAACATATATAGTGTTTGACACACCCCCATAGGCAAAGTGGGGGAGAACAAGGGGTCACAAGACCAGTCAAGCAAAGCAAAGCAAGCTCAGGGTGGATCACAAAGTCACCACACAGTCCGAGCACAAGAGCAGGGCCAGAGGCCAGTTCACATGCAGGAGTACAGACATATATATATAAAACTAGACAAGCAAGAGCAGGTATATATATATATGTCACAGTACAAGTGAAGTCAAGAGGAGAGCAAGTGAGGCAAGACAGGCACAAGACCCAGCTGGGTGCAAAAGCGCTGATGGTCACAAGGCGCGAGTGCCTTGGTGAACACATCAGCAGTGTTGGCCTCAGAGGCCACGTACGCAAGTCGCAACTGACCACGCTGCTGCAGCTCACGAGCAAGGAAGTAGCGGAGAGCAATGTGCTTCGTTCTGTGCTCCAAGCGCTGCTCTCGACACAAGGCCAGCATGGCCTTGTTGTCTACGTACAGCACTGGAGGAGAACGAGGCGGCTCTCCAAGGTCAGTCAGCAGGTAGGTGAGCCAGCGAAGCTCCTGTGCAGCCATGGCCCCGGCGTAGATCTCAGCCTCACAACTGGAGCCGAGAACCGAAGACGAGCGAGTAGACCGCCACGAGACAGAGCCGGAACCAAGGCTGAAGGTGTAACCCTGTGACGACCGCTGCGTAGCCTGGTCGTCAGCCCAAGAAGCGTCCGCGTGGCCGGTAAGGACCACTGGACTCCGCCCTCCAAGCACTAGCCCCATGCCCGACGTACTGCACAGGTAGCGCAATACCCTCTTCGCTGCAGCCATGTGCTCTGGTCTGTGTCTCCCAGGAGCAACATAGCGTGCAAGAATGCTCAGAGGGTATGCAAGGTCAGGTCGTGTGCAGGTCATCAGGTACATGAGGCAGCCAACAAGCTCTGCATACGGACCACTCGACTCTACGGACTCATCCGAAGGCAGAGCTGAGAGTGAGTGGCGAGTAGGCAGAGGAGTGGCCTGAGGCGAGGAGTACGTGAAGCCGAAGCGCTGAAGGACCTGCTGCACCATGTGTGACTGAGTCAAGGTAATGGTGCGGCGTGCTCTGTCCCGAGTGATCTGCAAGCCAAGGTAGCTGCGCAGTTCACCCAGGTCTGTGCACGTGTGTCTCTTCAGCAGCTCGGACTTCACGTAGGCGAGTCCAGTAGTGTCCGCTGTGGCAAAGACCAAGTCGTCGACGTACACCAGGATGTAGAACGGCGGCAGGGATGTGTCGGTGCGAAGAAACAGCGACGGGTCAGCAGTAGAAGGAGCAGACCCAAGAGCCGCAAGCGTAGTCCTCAGTGTGTCGTGCCACTCACGCGGTGCCTAGCGGAGACCGTAGACTGGCCGTCGGAGGCTCCACTGGGTGCCAGGAGGGAAAGTCCCAGTGAAGCCAGGTGGACGGCGAAGCCAGATCTCCTCGTGCAGGCTACCCTGCAAGAACGCAGTGCTGAAGTCGAGAGAGTGAAGCTCGTAGTCGCGCTGAGCGGCTATGTGCAGCAGCACCCGAAGAGTAGTCATCTTCGGGGTGGGAGAGAAGGTCTGAAAGTAGTCAACTCCCTGCCGCTGACTGAAGCCACGAGCAACGTACCGTGCCTTGAAGACAGGTGGAGAGCCCGGCGGCCGCTTCACCCTGAAGATCCACATGCCACTGACGATGTTCGCCCCAGGAGGGGGAACCGCGTCAACGTAGGTGCCTGTGGACTTCCAGGAAGCCATCTCTGCATCCATAGCTGCCTGCCACTGAGAGGAGTAGGGACCC